GGCCCCGGCACCCCCCTTTCACTCCCATTCCTGTCCTGGCACAAGCAGCTTGACCTGGTCTGTGGCTCTGGGTGGCTCCCTGGCTGCTAGTGGCACTGCATGGGAGCCGGGGCTCTGCCGTGGGACTGCTGCTCCACGGCCACGGCTGCTCCCATCTGAGATGTCCTCACAGGCATCGGAGGCAGTGCCCGGGGATGCCTTGGCCCAGCAGAGTTTTGGAAGTCCTGGTGCCTCCCTGGGGTAGAGAAAGAGACAGGGAACAGGTTCCTCTGCTTTGCAGGGCTACAGACTAATGCAGCTGCCTGCTTGGAAGATTTCAATGTGAGTGGCATGTCCTGTTCCAGGTTGCCTGGCTGTCCCCATGGAGCTGGGTCTGGCCACAGCCTTGCCCATACTAGGGAAGCTGCCCAGGAAGAGAGGGCTGCCAGTGAAGGGAAGGGCTGCCTCCCCCACTGATAACCGTCAGGGCTTGGAGACAGCCTCAGGGGCTGGCTCAGCAGAGGGGTCACCCCATCCACTCCCACCTTACCTAGGTTGGGCAGGTCTTCATGTCCCCAGGACACAGCCAGGAAGTCCTGAGCCTGTGATGCTGGTTGTATGCAGGGGGCCATGTGGGGCACGGCACAGGGTATCCAGGGCACCCATACAGGTGAGCCCAGAGTGTCCCCAGTCATGTGGAAGGGGTGGTTGTGCAAAGCCTGTACTCTGTCCTCTTCCAGGTGTGCCCCCTTCGAGGTTGTTGTCCCACACACCTGGAGGCACTGGCTCCCTCCTCTGCCCTTCCTTCTTGTCCTGGGAGAAATAAGCCTGCAGCTGCTGTCAGCCCCACTAATGTCCTACCAGCAGCATCTCCTCCCTGTCCCCCACAGCCACGGTGGCAGGGGATGGGATGTCCCAGCTATGAGCCTCAATCCTAGCACTGCTCTCCCCTCTTGGGCTCCCATGAGTACTGGCTCTGCCCTGGAGCGTGCTGGGCATGGCTCAGGCTGCACAGGGTGCTGGGGAGCAGGGCAGGTTCCAGCCCCACAGGTCCCCAGACAGAGGGGTGACCTGCTCCCTGGCTGCTGCTGGCACTGCTGGGCTTGGTACCTCCCAGGGCACTGCCTGTGCCAGCCTGTGCCCCTGCACCCCTGGGGCTGGGGTGTCACAGGTGCCTCGTCTGGTCTGCAATAAGCCCTGCTGAGCCGAGCCAGGACCTGCTGTGACATCTGTCCCTAAAGGTGCCACCCTTGCAAGTGGCAGGAGGGGGGTGATGCAGGCCAGCCAGATGACAGGACTGAGCTCATCGTGACTGCTGTCCGAGGCCATGGCTGGGTGTGACACAACCTACGTGGGAGAGAGCTGTGACGCAGGCTGTGTCCCATCTCAGCAGTGACGTGGCTCCTTCAGGGATATCTCTGAACAAGGCTCCTTGTCTCAGCTGACCTGAACGTCCTCGTGTGCCCTGGTCCCAGGCTCTGTGCTCTTTCCTTCCTCCGCCCTCCCACGGCCAGGACAGGGCATGGGCCATCCCTGGGGCTGGCTCGGCCAGATGGCAGTGGTGGCCCAGCTCTTTAAATGCTATAAAAAGAGGAGGGACAGAGGAAGGATTTGAGCTGCTCCAGCATCTCCTTGAAACCTGCCACCATGCATCAGGGAGGGCTGGGCAGTTGCTTCTCTGGTGCCCCATTGGTGCTAGCAACAACCCACCCCTTGTTTGGAAGCTGGGAGGTCTGGCAGACCAGTCACTCGCCTGGAAGTAGCCTTCCCGTGCCTCCAAGGGATGGAACTGTGTCCAACACATTCTGTGCCTCTGGGAGTCTGGTGGCATCACCAGGGCTTGCCTAAGGAGTTACACTCTTCCAGCTGGGACTTGGCAGGTATGAGAGCTGGACACAGCCTCGGTCCTGGCTTCCTAAACCATTTCCTTTTCCAGGACACTGTAGTGAGAAGGTCACTTGGCCGGACACCTGCCTTTGTCAGGGCCGCACCCAGCCCGATTGCTGCTGTGACCCTTGGCAGGAAGACATCCTGCTGGCAGGGAGTCCCCAGGAGAGCAGCCACAGTCACAGGCAGGACAAGCTCTGGTGCCTGTGCCTTCCAACACTAAATGAACCCAACCCAAAATCCCCTTTCCCACCCCTCAAAGTCACCTGAAAGGAGGAGCACAGACCTCTCCCGTCCCCAGCACCAGACCAGTGGCATTGGCCAGCTGCAGCTCCTGGCAGCTGGATTACTGTTCCAGAGGAGTCAGCAGTGAAACCAGGCAGGGGACAGCCCAACCAGGGGAATCCCTCTGCCTCCCATATAAAAGGCCCAAGGCAGCAGAAGAAAGAGGCTAGCCAAGCTTGTTTGATAGCTTTATTGCTTTTGTGATATGACTGAATTGATGTGACATAAGCCGGCTTGGAGGAGCCTGCAAGACTCTTACCCTCCCTGCCTAGAGGGAAAATTTTAAAAAAATGCAGAAACTAAAACTAATTTTAAAAACTCATTGAGTTCTTGCATCTTGGCTTGGTACAGTACCGGCAAATGCACTGGCCTTTTCAAGACCCTGTGCAGACTGTGCAAGGAGCCAGAGCCCAGAGGGGCTGGGCTGTGCCCCAAAGGGGCTCCTGCACTGAAGGACACGTCTCTAATACTGTGAGTGACACACACTTGGACTGAGAGCACACACTGTGCTGGTGCCCATGGAGCTCAGTGTGGTGGCTGCCTCCCTGCCTAACACTCTGGAAGCCCTTGTCCGTGTCCAGTTCTGCCCATACCCAACCCAACTGTGCCCATCTGACACAGATGGCCCTGTCCTGACACCTTCCCCCCCTCCCAGCAGTGCTCACACTCAAGGGGTGGCACAGCATGGCCAGGCAGCACCTCTCCACTTCTCCCTCCAAGGAAGGAGACACTGGAAGCCCAGAGATGATGGGATGAGGAATGCTGGGCTGGATCCCACTGCTGCCTCATGCTACCTGGCCATGGTGCTTACCTTTGGCACGTGTGAGCTCGAGGACACAGCATGGCCAGGCCTAACAGGGTGAGCTGGTGGTGGGATCCCAGAGCCAGTGTGGTGGTCACTGACACAAATGCTCAAGCAGCTCATGGTGTTGTCAGCACAGCAGCAGCAGCTCTCCAGCACCTCCTGTCCTGCAGAGCAGCACATGCAGACTGCCCTGCAGCTCCCCAGACCTGCTCTCTGCACTGGCTGGAGCAAAACCCACTGTGGTTGCTGCCCCTGGTCTCCCTGTGTTTCCCTGGGCTGTCTCCAGGCAGTTCCCTGCCGCCCGAGTGGCCTTTCTGCACCATGGCCCATCAGAGGCACCAGGCAACCCCGCTCTATATTTAGGCTGTGGAGAATTCCCCTGGGCTCTCCCTTCCGATCTGACAAGGTGAGTCACTGTGAGGGAGAGGCCAAGACTCACATCCGTCCCACTGACCCTGCTCTGACCCGCACCGCGGCGTCTCCAGGGCGGGAGGTGGCTGCAGGTGCACCTGGGGAGGCAGCCAAAAGAACAGCACCCAGCAGCAAAACCCAGTGCTGTGCACTGCTCCTGAAGCTGGAGCCCCATCACCTGGCCACGGGCTGCTCTGTGGTGTCAGTGAGCCAGAGGAGAGTCTTGGTCCCCAAAATGCTCTTTCCTTCTGCATGCAGGTGGTCCTGACCCACCACAGTCACTATGGACCATGCATTCATCTATTCCACTTGGACTCTTCTGCCTGGAGACCCCTGTCAAGGTGGAGGGAAGGGCTTGGAGTCACCTCCCTGTCTGTAGGGTCAACTTTCCATCAGGACCTATTCATGGCTGTGATGGAGAGCTGGGATGACAGGGAAGGCTGAGCAGAGGCCATGCTGTGTTCTTGGACCTGGAGCCAGTGAGTTGGAAGATAAAAGTGCTCTGGAGCTTTGTAGTGTTCAATAATGCAATTGAACAACCCTCTGTGGGGGTCCCAGCAGCGACACCAAAGGCTCTTCCCTCCTCCTTGCAGATGCAGCTGCCCACTCTGCCACCTCAGCTCACTGCAGCCCATGGATGCAGCCCTAGGGCTCTCATGGCAGCTGGTCAAAGCACCAAGTCTGAGAGAGTGGGTGTCAACCCTTCCCCAGCCACAGCCTCAGCCAGACCCAGACCAAGCATTCCCCCTGCCAGCATGGCTGGGACTCAACAGAAGATGGTCCCAAGGCCAGGCTGACAGCCAGGAACTGCAAAAGGAGGGTTGCCTGGTGAGAGCCATGGAAATTCAGTCCCATGGAGTCTGCAAGAAGGATAAACAATTTGGGAGATACTTACAAGGAATATCTGCCACAGCATATGCTCAAAAACCTGCTGCAAACCTCCCAGAGCATCCTGAAAGGAGACATGTCCCTGGGGAACGGGGACTGCCTGGCTGGGAGGCCAGAGCAGTAGGGATGGGACATGGGAAGGGTAAAGGGAAGGAGAGCCTCCCAACATGCCTTCTGCAGCCCAGAAACAGCAGGAACTTTGAGCTGCTCCCAGATAACAAGGAAAACAGCAGCCACAACAAGAAGCTGGGCAGGACTTGCCCCTGAGCAAGCTCCTTGGCTACAGGCACAGCAGGCAGGAGAGGCTCCTGAGGGAGGCATCCCACACCGATCTAAGCAGCACTCAGTGCCATGTCCTGGGAGCTGCCTCTGCCTGCAGCCTGCTCTCAAACCATCCTGTACTGTTTGCTGGTCTGCCCCTCCTGCACACCCCCTTGGGGGTCTCAGGTCCAAAGCCACAATCCCTGCAGGTGCAGAGCTGGTCTAGGGGAGCCATGCGAGCCCTGCTCTGAGCATGCCAGGGTCATGCTTCCTTCAGTCCAGAGCAAGACAGACTGCAATCCTTGGCCTGTGTCAGACACAGTGTCAGGACCATGAGCCCAACCCACATCCCTCTGGGATCCCCCTCCACTGAGCCCAGCACTGGCTGGTTTGTGCCAGTGCATTGACACCCAGGTACTGGGACAGCGCCTGTGGGTGCACTCCAGCCTGCTCCAGGCCAGGAGAGCACAGGAGCCACTTTCCACATGGAACTGCTCTTTCCCTTGGCAACCTCCCTCCTGCCCACGCTCTTCAGGTGGACGAGACCACCCTTGCTGCCCTCGCACTTGGCCACGTTGATCAGTTTATTCCAGCTCCTCTGAAATACGTATACAAATCAAATGTGCAAATAGTGCATCTTGGGACCAAGAGGGCAAAGGAAGGACGTGCTCCTGAGAGCAGGAGGAGCAGCAGTGCTAGAGCAGCACAGGAGGAGCTTGGAAATGGAGTGAGCAGGGGCCGAGCAGAGGGTGAGAGTTCCCATCAGGTTCCATCATCATTGAGGTCACACGTCGCTTAAATAGGGAACATGATTGAGTCTGGAACGTAAAACAAACATCTTCAGCAGTCTGCTCTCAAACTGTAAAGCTTGAGATCTCTGCTCAAGATCTGACCTCCTTCCAAAGAATAAATTACTCCCCTCCCACACAAAACCAAAGCGAGATGCTGTCCAGAAACAGTGACACAAGTCTGCACGGACTCTTCAGGGGCCCTGCACAGCAGGCACAAACCAAGAGGCCTGAAAGCCTTCAGCACAACAGGGCAGGCTCCGCTGCATTGTGACAGGCAGGAAAGTGGGGAGGGTCTGCTGTAGGCAGAGAAAGCCACTGGCTCCCTGCTCCACCTCAGGTCAGGGCAGAGGCAGAGCAAATGGCTATGGAAAATACAGCCAAGTCAGTGGCTGCTGTTGCTGCCTCTGTGGAGGATGTGAGGAAAAATGCAGAAAAACAAACCCATGCTCATCTCCATCCTGAAGCTCCAAGTGGAGAATGAGAGGAAGCCATTATTCTCCCTTTGAATCGTAGCAGCACCAATGACACCGAAGTTTTGGATGGATTTGTTTTCCTGGGGAAAGGTCAGAGGCTGGTGACAATGCAGATGGAGCATGAAGAGGCCAGGTTTTTCACAGGGCTGTGCGCAAGCAGACTTTGTCTTGTACCTTGGTATTTCTAGTATGGTTCCAGCAGAGTCTTTTAAAAAATAATACTTTGTACATTCAGGCTTTGCTGCCTAGGGGCAGCATCACCTCCCATTTGGCACTGATCATTGTATTCACAAACCTTTCTTCTCTCTCCTGAGTCTTTCCTGTCTAATTCAGGATGCAGAAGATCTGTCTGCGATGCAGAGTTCAAGAACTGTCCACTCAGCCCCTTGCCCACCTCCTGCCAGCTCTGGGCCTGGAGGTGGGAGATGGAACCCTCATGCAGACTGGCAATGCAAGAGGGTGTTCCCAGAGCACCTGGGCATCTCTGTGTGTCTTCAGTGAGGTGGGATTCTTGCAGGGGGCTGCCAGTGCCTGCTCCCAGAGCTGCAGCGTGTCTTCATCTCCTCCCTTGGATGCAGTGGCTGCAGCCACTCAGATCCCACTGGTGAGGTCAGTGATGACTCGGGCTTTCACCAGCTTTCTCAGGAATTCCTTCTCCCGCTGGATGTTGTGCGTCCAGGACTGGAAGAAAATGAGAGAGACAGGAGGTCAGCAACTACCCTGGCCAAGCATGCTCCTGCCCGTGCTGCTCATGGGGGAGCAACACTGCACTGACAGTGCTCTTTGGGAGGGATGAAAGCAATGTAAAAAACAGAATCTGACAAGTGGCACTGGCAATAAGGGTTACAAAGGCTTGTAAAAGGAAAAAAGCACCAGTTCCAGAAAGCAGCAGTGGGAACGATGGTGGCACAGAGAGAGCTGGGAGAGCAGGGCCGAGCGTGTGTTGGAGGCAGAGAGCCAGGATGCCCCAATGTGCTGGAAACAGTTCCACACGTGGCATGTCAGCTGGGGGCCCTGGGCTTGGCCCCTGCCATGCAGCAGTGTCACTTATGCCAGCACAGCCCCTTGCTAGGAAGGCTCAGCCTGAGCTCCTGCCCACAGGCAGGGAGCAGCAGCACTGCCTGCAGGCACAGAGGCCACGCTGGGACACCAGCTCACTGCATTCACTTGCATCTGGCTGGGATGGTTGTTGAAACCTGCCTGGAGCACCAGGAGCCTGATACCTCATAGCACAATCTGAGCCCTCCTCCACGCCTTTCAGCCTCATCACACAGTCTGAGAAGCCAAGTTTGTGTTTGCTTTTTGTACAGATGAACTGGGGAAACAGCCACTTGTAGGCAAACTCAAACCACCTAAAATGCCACCTCAGGCCACGTGCAAGTGCCTTATCTGATGGCAGGAGGAAATCTGCTTTGTGAAAAGTACAAGTGGAGCAGGAATTTAAGTTCAGGAGGTAGATAACAAAACTTTGGGTGACACAATTGCAGTGTCTCACATTACAGCTAGGTCTGGCTCCAGCACTCACTGCAAAGTTGCTGGCAAGACCTATCAACCTGTGGTTGTTCAGCACCCAGGCTGCTTTATACCCTAGGCATTGCCACTAACTCCTTTTTACAAGCAGTCACACAAAAGGCCATTCAGCCTCCCACCGGATCCATGGATCTTAGTGATGTCCACATCAGTACTCTCTGATGTTTTGTGGCTAATGTAAGCCCACAGAGGAAGAGGTTCCCCCGTGAGAACACGCTTTCATCCCTCCCAAAGAGCACTGTCAGGGCACTCAGTGCAGCGCTGCTCCCCCATGAGCAGCAGGGGCAGGAGGGATGTTGCATGTCTCCAACACCAGCTCCGGTTACTGATTACCCAGAGGGACTCACTCATCCCACTGACAGACTGAGCTGATCAGACTGAGGAAGCTGCATTCCAGCACCAGCAGTGGGGACAAGAGCCAGAGCAGTTTTCTCAAAACTGACAGGAAAGCAGGCACCTCAGTCCTGCTGCTCCGACAGGAAAAGGCAACAAAATACACATGAAACCCCAGAAGGTTTCAGGGTGTACACACCTCAAATAGAACCATGGGTATGCACCTTAAACAGCACACACTGCCAGCAGAAAACTCCAGCTCTTTTCTTGTCAATCTGCGCCTCAAAGACAGTGATGGAGCAGTTTGGAGCGTTTACTGTCACCTCCACCTTCCTGTCCCTGCACATCACCACCGCTGCTGTAACCTGGCAGACTGGCTCTGCCCTCTCTCCTCTGCTGCTCGCATCCAAGGCAGCTTCCACTTGTGGAATCAAACAGGCTGCTTGCCTGAGCTGATGGCTGGAGCAATGAACTTTGAGAGTTACAACAGGAACATCCCAGGAGGCTCCAGACCCCTTCCTGTTCTCCAGGGATCAGGCTGGGATTTCCTGTGCTTTGGGTCTGCTTTTTGCTTTTTCCAGTGGAGAGCAAAGCAGAGGGAGCAGAGTTTCTCTGCCAGCACTGTTATGGCTGTTTATCCCAGGGAGGTGGCAGTGGCTCTGAGTGCTTGGTCACAGTTATTAGATGAAAATTTATCATCAGTTAAAGCCACCTTTCAGGATTATGCAAATGTAGCAGCCCCAAACCACCTATCCTTTTTATCTTGACAATTCCACAATGAAGCACAAAACATTATCTGTCGCTTCAAGAAAAGCCAAGTGGAATATTTTAAGCCTAAGCAAATGTTTCAGAGACAAACCCAGGAGGAAGGTAAGCTCCCTGTCTGTAATCAATTACAGTCGAGGAATGCCTCAGCTTCAGACCACATTAGTCTTATCAAGCATGCTGCAATTTAAATACAGGAACACTAAATTAGAGAGAGTGAGTCAATGAGGAACGCATTCAAGAAAAACAGCAAGTTGTAGAGAAGGAGTTTTCTCAGTTCTGTTACATCCTCTGTCTTTCTGCATGTAAGCAGCACTTCTCCACAAAAACCTGCACAGAAACCAGAGCAGAGCAAGAAGTGCTACTTCACTGGCAACAGTCGGTTTCCAGTCTCCACCAGTGCTAATTTATCTTTGTCTTTAACCTTCACTGCCTTGTTTCTGGAGCTGCTTAATTTTCATCAGTCTGCTTGAAACTCTTGGGGTTCGCACATACTGAAACAAAAGGGATGGCTGGGCACCCTCATCTTCTTGTCTTCAGGGGATTTACTCACAGCTCCCTTATGCCCAGTCATTCTTACATCAACTTATAATTTCTAACAGCTGTTTTTGCTCCTGCTTACTCTTACTACACTCACAGAGAGAGAAACTGTATCTCTTTTTAGTCTTCATTATACCAAGTTAAACAAGCAACGCCTTTCTTCTACCAAAACAAGCTGTTAATTTACACCATGAAAACTGGGAAATCTCACAGAATTATAGTAGCTCCCTCTGCCCCTCTTTACTACAGATTTACTTCTCATGAGCAAGGAAAAAAGGCTCACCAGTGCCTCATGCAGAGGCAACTCCCTCACTCAACAAGAAGTCCTTTCCTCTAGTCTTTCCAGAGCTGCATTTGTCTTTTTTTCCCCCCAGTAACAGTCTGGCAGCCTGAATTAGTCTGTGATTTATTTGTACCTACCTAAGCACTTTCCTCCTCTGCCATTGCCAAATAATGCTATCCCAAATTAGAGTCAGAATGTCTGTTATTGCCCCAAATAGCATGGCCTCCCATTCATAATCTTAGCTTTCATGCCACCCAATTCACTCCTGTTCTCAAGGTGCTCATGGCCTTCCTGGATGGTATTTTGATCCTCCCTTGTATTGACCACACCTGGTTTTGTCTCATCACAAATTCCACTTGCACACCATTGCCTTCTGTGCCAAAAATCATTAAAGCAAACACTAAACATGAACCTTCTGCAGAGGAACTCCCAGCTGTCCATTCAGTGCTGCTTTTTGTGCTCTCTCTTAGAGAGACTATTCATGTACAGGTGTTGCACCAAGCCCTGGCTTCTGAAGCTGAACTAATGATAACATCTCACAGGATTGCATGCTTACCTGAACTTTTGACAGGCGGGACCGCTACACTTCCTCTGTCCCAAGAATGATTTTTTTTTTAACCAAATAAAGATATTAAATTCATTTTTGTAAGCTGCCTTTGGTAAACCAATGTTGGTTTGCTTTCAGGATTTAAATATTCTTTCATTTAAACTTTGCTCTGAAGTTCTGAATAGTACTTCTGAGGTTGGTTTAAGAGTTCTGAATTGGACAGGATTATTTTCCTTGACTTGCTCCCATACCACTCCCCCCCCCAAAAAAAAGAAGGGAAAAAGAGGTATTATATCCACTACAAGCTAATCCTGTGGAACTTGATAGATTTATTGTGGACCTTTTCCTCTGCACTTGCAGCTTAATTGGCTCAAAGTGGAACAGAGATCTCTTGGGCTCTCACACCTTCTGCATTAGCTTCAACAGCTTTTGCCTTTCAGTGCTGACCCAGTAATTTTCGTTTTCCGTGAACTTCACACCATAAGCGACCCTTTCCCTCACATTCATCATATCATCCTGATGGAGGTAATATATATATATATTTCTTGTGGTTTCTACTTTAATCATTCTGCTTCCTTCACCTCCTTGGATGTCAGTCTTGATAATTCTTTCCTTGCTTCCTTATTGTTAGTGACATTGTTCAGTATTTGCTAATTTTCCTTTGCAACATCTAATTGAACTTGACTTTTGCCAGTTTCTACTTTATCTCTGTCCCTTCCAGCCATCAGGAGTGAAGTGTTCTGATGTTCTTCCTTACTCCTCTATTACTTCTAACACCGCTTTGAAGCAGTTCTTTATGAAATTATATTTACAGCATTTTCCTCCCAGTTTTCCCCTTGCTGCAAGTATGAATCACAGATAATTATTGTACTGTCACAAACAAGACTTCGAGTCTACAATCAGTCCATGAACTCTTCAGTGAATGTGCTTTTAGCAGCCCATTCTCCAAGGCTAGGCAGAGAGGTCAGAGTCTGCAAGCATGCCCCAATTCCACTGAGCACCCCTCCACCACTGCTGAGTCTATATCCAGCCCTGCTTATCAAGCTCCCTCCTTTTGGGAGCAAAATCTGAATTATATCATCCCTTCTGTTGACTCTCCATTTAATTTAACCATGGAGACACTTGATCAAAGACTATTTCCTAAAATGTCCCTCTGCAAGGCCTTCATACATGCCCAAAGCAGCTGTGAAAGGCCCACAGCTCTTCTCGTGCCCTCCCAGCTGGTGAGAAGAGCTGTACCAGCCACTGTGCCTGGGAATACCTGGAGTCTCCTTTTGACAAGGAGATGTTCAGCCCTACTGTACATCCCTGACAGTGCTGTTTCTGGGGGCACCCAGCACCCCACAGACAGCTGTGTTCAGTGCTGGGGTCAGCAGCTGGGCTCTAACCCACCTCTGTAGATCTTTTACTGCCTTCTCCTACACAGAACTGTCCAAACCCCAATTCTGCTTCTGTCCATTCTACAGCTGTACTTTCCTTGCTGTTCTTAGTGCACAGTGATATCCTGAGTGTCACAGTACTTCTGTCCTTCTGAACACGGCAATACCTGTCCTCTGGTCAGGGCTGCTATTCCAGCAATCTTTTCCAGATTTCTGTTACACAGACACACAGTCCTTATGCACAGGAACAGCATGTGAGGCCTTTGCTCAGCCCCAACGCTGTCAAACAGGTGGCTTTTAAACA